GGCCCAGGGGCAGAAGCACATTCACGGTGCTGTGCAGCCATCACCACCATTCAGCCGCAGAACTTATTCATCTTCCCAAACTGAAGCTCTGGCCCGTTCAACCCCAACTCCCCACCCCCCAGCCCCTGGCACCCACCCTTCCACTGTCCGTCTACAGAGTTTACGGCTCTCCTTTGAGGCCCCTCACAGGAGTGGAATCCTATAGTGCGGGCCTTTCTGTGACTGGCTCCTTTCACTGAGTCCCATGTCCTCAAGGGTCAGCCATGTCGGAGCCCATCTCAAAATGGCCTTACTTTCTTCTCCATGACTTGCACTTTCCTGCAGTCCTGTAAGGCGGGGCTTGGTGGAGATGGAGAGCAGGGCAAGTGTTTAGCCACAGATGAGTCCTCACTTTCAATTTTAACTGTAATGTCAACTTTCTGGATGTTTACATGCTTAAAAGAGTAATTCCTTCCTTCATAAAGTATTGGCTCCCACTCTGCCCATGATGCAAGCTGCTCTCATCTTGCCACACGGAAATTTATGTCTGCCTAGTTAGAGTGAGCAGTTTTTCTGTCTACTCCTTTCCCTAGAAGAAGTGGGGCTGGGCCCTCCCTGTTCTGTCTCAGACCTCAGTCTTCCTTACCATTCTATTCTATTTTATTTTATTTTGAGATGGAGTCTCGCTCTGTCACCCAGGCTGGAGTGCAATGGCGCCATCTCGGCTCACTGCAACCTCTGCCTCCCAGGTTCAAACGATTCTCCTGCCTCAGCCTCCCAAGTAGTACAGGCACGTGCCACCATGCCTGGCTAATTTTTGTATTTTTTTAATAGAGACGGGGTTTCACCGTGCTGGTCATGCTGGTCTTGAACTCCTGACCTTGTGATCTGCCTGCCTCGGCCTCCCAAAGTGCTGGGACTACAGATGCACACCACCATGCCCAGTTAATTTTTTGTATATTTAGCGGATACAGGGTTTCACTATGTTGGCCAGGCTAGTCTCAAACTCCTGACTTCAGATAATCCATCCGCCTCAGCCTTCCAAAGTGCTAGGATTACAGGCGTGTGCCACTGCGCTGGGCCACCATTCTGTTTTAAATAAGAGTTTTATTAAGGTATGATTCATATACCATAAAATTCACCATTGTAAAGTGTACAGTTCAGTGGTTTTTAGTATATTTAGAGTTGTGCAGCCATCACCATCTAATTCCACAACATTTTTGTCACTCCCTAAAGGAGCCATTAGCCACTACTCCTCCCTGTTCCCCTCTCCAGCCCCTGGCACCCACTCCTCTGCTTCCTGTCTCTATGAATTTGCCTGGCTGAACACTTTACATAAGTGGATTCATTCCTTCTCTTGGCTGAATCCTCTTCCATTCTGTGGGTAGACTGCACTGAGTTTAGCCATCCATCTGTTGGATGAGTGGTGCCGCTGTGAACCTCTGTGGACAAGTCTTAGTTTGGACGCGTGTGTTCACTTCTGCCATTCTTCAGCTGAGCGTCTGGGCTGGTGGTCCTGTGTCTGGCCGCCAGGCCACAAAAGGGTGCTTGCTTCCCTTATGCCCCGGGAATCTTGGCACCTACTGCCCAAGCGCAGCCCTCAGCCCCCTGGCCGCCACCCTCTGCAGGTGGCTGAGATCTGCGTTGATATGGAGCTGCAGGACGAGATTCTGCCCAGAGCCCAGAACATCCAGAGCCGCCTGGACCGACAGACCATCGAGACGGAGGAGGTCTGGGCAGCCCACTGGGGGTTAGAGGGAGACAGGGACCTGGAGCCTGTACAGCCTGCTGTTGGAAGTGGCTGCCCTGCCTGCCCGCCTCCCTCTGGTCCCTTCCTTCTGACTTGGACTTCCTGTCTCCATCCCTGTCCCCCATCTCTTACCACCCTGTGCGGTCTCCTCTGCAGGTGAACAAGACGCTGAAGGCGACACTGCAGGCCCTGCTGGAGGTGGTGGCCTCGGATGACGGGGATGTGCTCGACTCCTTCCAGACCAGCCCCTCCACCGAGTCCCTCAAGTCCACCAGCTCAGACCCAGGCAGCCGGCAGGCAGGCCGGAGGCGTGGCCAGCAGCAGGAGACCGAAACCTTCTACCTCACGGTGGGGAGGGCTGGGCTGGTGGGTGGGACCCGTGGGGGCGTGACTGGGGCAGAGGGAGGGGCTCAAGCCAGGGCTAACACTTTGGGCTCTTCTTGGGGCTGCCTAGAAGCTCCAGGAGTATCTGAGTGGACGGAGCATCCTCGCCAAGTTGCAGGCCAAGCACGAGAAGCTGCAGGAGGCCCTTCAGCGAGGTGGGCCCAGGACCCTATGTAGCCCACGGTCCTCCCCTCCTGCCTGTCCTTGGCCCTTATCCACACCTTTCTCTCTGGGATGCATTGAAGACCCTTGGCCTGAGAGGCAGACCAATGTTCTCCCACCCCACAGGTGACAAGGAGGAGCGGGAGATGTCTTGGTGAGTCCTTCATGAGGGGCTGGTGTGTTCTGAGGAGCTGGGGCCCTGCGATGGTCCCCCATCTCTTCTCTCCGTCAGGCCCAGCTCAGCTGCCTAATTCCCTGAGCCTCAATATCCCAGTTTTCGCACTGGATTGTGGAATAACTTCAGAGAATTAGAGCCCTACTTGGCTGGGCTGGTGGGTGGGGCACCCTATTCTCCATGCCCGGCCCCCTCAGAGCCAGTTCCCGTTCACCGCAGGACCCAGTACACACAGAGAAAATTCCAGAAGAGCCGCCACCCCCGCCCCAGCTCCCAATATAACCAGAGACTCTTTGGGGGAGACATGGAGAAGTTTATCCAGGTACTTGCTTTGCCCCACATGCCAGCCCACCTGTACATGCTGGTCTTTCTTCAGCCCTGGGTCACCTCAGTGACCAGAGCATCTGCCTGATCCCAGGGTCCTCCACTCTCAGTCATCAACTGTCCCTTTCTGGGTGGGCCTCTTCCAGGCCGCTGTTGGGCTCCCCTGTAGCCTCTGCTGATTAAAGGGAGCATCCTTAACTAGTAATGGGAATGTATAGAAAACCTGGGGCAGCAGCATTTTTAGGTGCGAGATATTGAGAGCTTCTCCCCTGCAACTTCTGGCCAGCGTGGTACTGGGGGTCCTGGACAGTGAAATAAGGGGAAGCAAGAAAGATCAGAAAACTAATACTGAGATCAGAAAGTATCAGAGGGTGCCAGGCACGGTGGCTCACGCCTGTGATCCCGGCTCTTTGGGAGGCTGAGGTGGGCAGATCACTTCAGCCCAGGTGTTCAAGACCAGCCTGGGCAACACGGTGAAACCGCGTCTCTACTAAAAATACAAAAATTAGCCGGGCATGGCGGTACGTGCCTGTAATCCGAGGCGGAGGGGGGAGGGAGGGAGGGAGGAAGAAAAAAAAAAAAAGGAAAGACAGAAACAAAGAAAGAAAGAAACACAGAGAAATAAAAGGAAAGAAAGAAGAAAAAAAGAAAAGAGAAAAGTAAAGAAAGCATCAGAGGGGGCCAGGCATGGAGAATACCAGAAGATCAGAACTGATACCGTCACTTTCAGTGATGTGGTTATGTGTGTAGAACATTCAAAAATCAACAGATTCTTTAAATGAACACTTTGAGTTTCTTTCTTTTTTATTTTATTTTTTTTTTTAATTTGTTGAGACAGGGTCTTGTGCTGTTGCCCAGGCTGAAGTGCAGTGGCACAATCTCAGCTCACTGCAGCCTTCACCTCCTACCTGTTGGGGTTCAAGTGATTCTCATGCCTCAGCCTCCCAAGTAGCTGGGACTACAGGTGTGCACCACCACACCTGGTTAATTTTTACATTTTTAGTAGAGGTGAAGTTTCACCATGTTGGTCAGGTTGGTCTCGAACTTCTGACCTCAGGTGATCCTCCTGCCTCAGTCTCCCAAAGGGCTAGGATTACAGGCGTGAGCCACCACACCCAGCTTGAGTTTCTAAATGTTACTTGATTCAAGGTCGGTGTACAGAATTTAATTGCATTTTTATATTCCAGCAACAATTTGCAAATAAAATGTAAGGTACTGCCTAAAACCTCATCAAAGATATCAGACACCTAAGAGTGGATCTAACAAACAGTGTGCTAGGCCTCTATGCCGACAACGATGATGTGTTCTTGAGAGAAAATAAAAGCACTCAGCCTGGTGTGGTGGCTCATGCCTGTAATCACATCGTTTGGGGAGATTGAGGCAGGAGTATCACTTGAGCCCAGGAAGTCGAGGCTGCAGTGAGCCGAGATCATGCCACTGCACTTCAGCCTGGGTGACAGAGGGAGACCTTGTCTCACAAAAAGAAAAAGCAATTGAATGACAACACAGGGCATGCTGTGTCCATGGTGAAGTAAACACCCTCTGTCCCCAGTGCTCTGGCCAGCCTGTGCCCCTGGTGGTGGAGAGCTGCATTCGCTTCATTAACCTCAACGGTAAGCAGGACCCAGCCCCTCCCGCTGTCCTGGCACCCAGCACCCAGCTCCCAGCACCTGGCATGGGAGGCCATCCTGGAGGGGCTGGGGAAGATGCTCAGTGCCCACCAGCTCGTTGTCCTCCCACAGGCCTGCAGCACGAAGGCATCTTCCGGGTGTCGGGTGCCCAGCTCCGGGTCTCAGAGATCCGTGATGCCTTCGAGAGAGGTGGGGACGGGCAGGGTGGGCAGGGCTGGGGGCTTGGGCAGACGTTACCAGCTTCCTCCCCGCACTGCACCACTCGCCTGTCTGCAGGGGAGGACCCACTGGTGGAGGGCTGCACTGCCCATGATCTGGACTCGGTGGCCGGGGTGCTGAAGCTCTACTTCCGGAGCCTGGAGCCCCCACTCTTCCCCCCAGACCTGTTCAGCGAGCTGCTGGCTTCTTCGGGTGAGGCCGGGGCCTGAGGCCAGTGGGGGTAGGGCACTTGCTAGGGCAGCCCCACTCACTCGACTCTCTCTGGGCGGTTTTGGCCACAGAGCTGGAGGCCCCGGCAGAGAGGGTGGAGCACGTGAGCCGCCTGCTATGGCGGCTGCCCGCGCCAGTGCTGGTGGTTCTGCGCTACCTCTTCACCTTCCTCAACCAGTGAGTGCTGTGGGGCGAGTGCTGGGGTGGGGGCCAGGGTCGAGGGGATAAGGGGACTCGGGGTGCGGGCTCTCTGCTTGTGATGTGTGTGTCCCCCCAGCCTGGCCCAGTACAGCGATGAGAACATGATGGACCCCTACAACCTGGCCGTGTGCTTTGGGCCCACGCTGCTACCGGTGCCCGCTGGGCAGGACCCGGTGGCGCTGCAGGGCCGGGTGAACCAGCTGGTGCAGACGCTCATACTGCAGCCAGATCGGGTCTTCCCGCCCCTGACCTCACTGCCTGGCCCCGTCTACGAGAAGTGCATGGCACCGCCTTCCGCCAGCTGCCTGGGGTACACCCTTGGTGCTGCAGAGGGGATGGGGGGTCCACTGGAGAAGAGCCCCCCTCATCCACCTTGCTCTGCCCTGAACCTCAGGGACGCCCAGCTGGAGAGCCTGGGGGTGGACAACGAGCCGGAGCTGGAAGCTGAGATGCTTGCCCAGGAGGATGGTGAGGGCAATGGGCAGAGAGCCCCACCCTGTCCCTGCCCTAGTGTCCACACCCGCCCCCCCGCACAGCTTGGACCCCCTCTCCTCCCCAGACCTGGAGGGGGTTGTGGAGGCTGTGGCCTGCTTTGCCTACACGGGCCGAACGGCCCAGGAGCTGAGCTTCCGGCGGGGGGACGTACTGCGGCTGCACGAGAGGGCCTCGAGCGACTGGTGGCGGGGGGAGCACAATGGCGTGCGGGGCCTCATCCCCCACAAGTATATCACACTGCCTGAGGGGTAAGTGAGCTGCGCCCTCAGGCCCCAGGGTTCCTGGAATCTCCCCACCTCCCCTTCATCCAGCCCTCCCCTGACCCCAAGTTAGATTCTGAAGGTCTGGGCTAGGCCAGAGAATGGAGCCTGTCTGACTACTTCTGACTGGCACGGAGGCTGCTGGCCCTGGACCCCGTGCAGGGAAGGAACACTCAAAACAGGCTGGTGCTTCCCACCACAGGGCAGAGAAGCAGGTGGTGGGCGCAGGGCCGCAGACTGCAGGGGAGTCTGGGAGCAGTCCCGAGGGCCTCCTGGCATCAGAGCTGGTTCACCGGTGAGCAAGAAGATAGGGCTTGGGGGGCCCATACATGTGCTGTTCTAGGCCAGAGGGGACTGGGGTCAGGCTTTGGCCCCGTGGGAGTGGGAGGTGTTGGCAGATGAGGACGTGACAGAGTGACCCAGCTTGTGACAGGGAAAGAGGCTCTAGAGGAGCTTGGGGACCACTGGGCCAGCCTCCTTTCCTTGGCCACACCCCAGGATGGGAGGAGCCACTGTCCAGTTAGCTCAGGGACTTCCCAGAGCCCCCACCAGGCTCCCCGTCTGTCCTGCAGGCCAGAGCCATGCATCTCACCCGAGGCCGTGGGACTCTCTGGACATAGACGACGCTGCTTGGTCCCAGCCTCCCCGGAGCAACACGTGGAGGTGGATAAGGTGAGAGAGGGTGTGTGGCAGGTGAGGGACATCTGTCCTGGGGGGATCTCTGCCTTCCCTTGGGAGCCACACTCCTCCCTCCTTGAGGTTCCAGTCCTTGCCCTCCCTGGCCTTAGCTCAGGGGAACCTGCCGCCAGACACACAGGCCCAAGGCAGACCCCATGGAGGGTAGGAAGGCAAAGATGTAAGGGCGAGTGGGGATGGAGAGGGATGGCCACAGAGGCAGGGATGAGAGGGACAGAAGACACCTGGCCTGGCTAGAGCCTGGGGCTTGCACGTTGGAATTCATGTTCGGCTTCAGAGCAGGGAGTGGCAGGGCTGAGTTAAGGCTGTTTACCTGGTAGAGGCAAGGGACTCCCGGGCAGATTTCAAGGCTGGCATCTGTAGCTGGGCTAGGTAACAGGCGGTGCCATGGCAGGCGCCTGGCATGCCAGGGAGGATGAAAGGGACAGATGGCAGGGAGGCAGGAGGGGGTGGCTGGTTGGGGATTGGAGTGGGGCAGCAGTGGCTCTCGAAGGAGCAGAGCGCAGGCTCAAGATGTGGCTCTGGCAAGCGCACGACCTGGGGAACCCTGCTCCATGCTCTGTGCCATGGGACCTGTGAACACTGTTGGGCTGAACGTGGAAGCCCAGGGAAAGTTGCTAAGCCCAAGGAGGAGAGACCTGAGAACATGTGGGTGTCCCAGGTGTGGCCAAGCCCTCCGGCTTAGGGAGCCCAGGGAGGGTCGGGTAGACACACAGGAGCAGGAGTGGGAGCCAGGGACGGAGCAGCTGGGAGATGCCATGGGAGGACACTGACCTGGGAGTTCCCCGAATGCTGGCGGTCCCTGAGGCCACGGGCAGGGGGACTGTGATCTCTGCCAAGGAAAGAGTGGGGGCGAGAAGAGAGGGGTCCCCACTTTCGGGCTAAACCAAGGAATTGCTGTCCTCAGAGGAGACTGTGACAGAGACACCAAAAGGGGCAGGAGGGATGCCAGGTGCGAAGTAGGGGAGAGCGACCTGGAGGCTGAGGGACTGGGGATGTTGTCTGAGGACTTGCTTTGGGAGTGGGAGGAACTCAGGTGGGTCTTGGGCAGGGTCAGTCGGGGGAGCTCACTGGTCACCCTCCCTTTCTTTCCCCTCCACTAGGCTGTGGCACAGAACATGGACTCTGTGTTTAAGGAGCTCTTGGGAAAGACCTCTGTCCGCCAGGGCCTCGGGCCAGCATCTGCCACCTCTCCCAGCCCTGGCCCCCGAAGCCCAAAGGCACCGGCCGGCAGCCGCCTGGGCAAGAACAAAGGCTTCTCCCGGGGCCCTGGGGCCCCAGCCTCACCCTCAGCATCCCACCCCCAGGGCCTGGACACGACCCCCAAGCCACACTGAGGTGCTGCTGCTGGAGCTGTGTGCCCCAGGCGGCTACCCCCTGGACCGGCCACTCTCCCCAGCCCTCTTGCTTCTCTCCAACCCTGTCCAGCAAGTTCAGGGTGCTGCACTTCACCCTGTGCGGAGGTGGGATGGGCCGCACGTGCAGGGATGCCCACTCCACACCCTGCCTGCCTCTCAGCCCTGGCCCAGGCCCCTTTTGGAGGCTGGGGAAAGCCCTCTTCTGCGACTTTGTGGAGGGCTGGTCAGTGGCTGCTGGGTGGCAGGTACCCTTGCTCAGATGCCTGGCAGGGCTGGGTGGTGATTCATAAAGACCTCGCGTTGATTCCCTGATGGGAGCCAGCTCTGTGTCTCAGGGGTGGGCGGGTAGGTGCTGGAGGCCAGAACAGCTTCCCTGGGGGTCCTGCAGCTTTGAAGACTTGGCCGCCTGCACCATGGGTTCCAGAGCTGTGCACATTACTGTGG